AGACCCCAAAAAAAATTCCAAAAAGCCCCAAAAAAATCCCAAACATCCCAAAAAGCCCCAAAAGGGACCCCCGGAGACCCCAAAAACCCCAAAAGGGGCCCCAAAAAAAACCCAAAATCACAAAAGGGGCCCCAAAAACCTCAAAGGAGCCCCCAGAGATCCCAAAGGAGCCCCCAGACCCAAAAGGGGCCCCCAGAGACCCCCAAAACCCCTAAAAATCCAAAGACTTCCCAAAAAGGGAACCCCAAAAAACCCCAAAGAGACCCCAAAAGGGAGCCCGGACTCAAAAGGGGACCCCAAAAAACCTAAAGGAGACCCCAGACCCCAAAAAGCCCAAAAGGGACCCCCAAAGACTCCAAAAGTGACCCAAAAGAGACCCCAAAAACCCCAGAGGGACCCCAGACCCCAAAAGGGACCCCAAAAAACCCAAAGGACCCCAAAAAGGGACCCCGAAACCTCAAAGGGACCCCCCAAAAATCCCCGAAACCTCAAAGAGGCACCAAAGAGACCCCAAAAGGGACCCCCAGAACCCCAAGGGGACCCCGGAGCCAAAAGGGACCCCGAAAACCCCAAAGGGACCCCAAGGGACCCCCCAAATCCCCCATAGAACCCCAAAAATCCCCCAAAATCGCCCCATAGCACCCCAAATCCCCCCATAGACCCCCATAACCCACCCCATAGCACCCCAAAACCCCCATAAATCCCCCATAGGACTCCATAGCACCCCAAATTCCCCCATAGGACCCCATAAATCCCCCCCTAGAACCCCACAAATCCCCCATAGGACCCAAATTCCCCCATATCCCACCCCATAGCACCCCAAATTTCACCATAGACCCCCATAAATCCCCCATAGCACCCCATAACCCATCCCATAGCACCCCAAAACCCCCATAAATCCCCCACAGGACCCCAAATTCCCCCATAGAACCCCATAAATCCCCCCATAGAACCCCATAGCACCCCAAATTCCCCCATAGGACCCCATAGCACCCCAAATTACCCCATAGCACCCCATAAATCCCCCATAAAACCCCCCCTAACACCCCAAATTCCCCCATAACTCCCCCACAGCACCCCCAAAATTCCCATAAATCCCCCATAGCACCCCATAAATCCCCCATAGCACCCCATGACCCACCCCATAGACCCCCATAGCGCCCCAAATTCCCCCACAGAACCTCCATAAATCCCCTAGAGAACCCCATAAACCCCCCAAAATCGCCCCATAGCACCCCATAACCCACCCCATAGCGCCCCAAATTCCCCCATAAATCCCCCCATAGGACCCCATGAATCCCCTACAGGACCCCCCAAATTCCTTCATAAAACCCCATAAATCCCATATGGAACCCCATAACCCACCCCATAGCACCCCAAATTCCCCCACAGAACCCCATCAACCCCCCAAAATCGCCCCATAGGACCTCAAATTCCCCCATAACCCACCCCATAGCACCCCAAATTCCCCCAAATCCCCCCATAAATGCCCCATAGAATCCCATAGCACCCCCAATCCGCCCACAAATCCCCTACAGGACCCCATAGCACCCCATAAATCCCCCCCTAGAACCCCACAAATCCCCCATAGGACCCCAAATCCCCCCATAACCCACCCCATAGCACCCCATTAATCCCCTACAGGACTCCCCAGATTCCCCCATAGGACCCCATAGCACCCCAAATTGCCCCATAAATCCCCCATAGGACCCCATGAATCCCCTATAGGACCCCAAATCCCCCCATAGACCCCCATAAATCCCCCCATAGGACCCCATAGCACCCCAAATTCCCCCATAAATCCACCATAAATCCCCTACAGAACCCCATAGCACCCCATAAATCCCCCATAGCACCCCATAAATCCCCCATAGCGCCCCCAAATTCCCCCATATCCCACCCCATAGCACCCCAAATTTCACCATAGACCCCCATAAATCCCCCATAGACCCCCCATAACCCACCCCATAGCACCCCAAAACCCCCATAAATCCCCCACAGGACCCCAAATTCCCCCATAGAACCCCATAAATCCCCCATAAACCCCCCCCCAAAACCCCAAATTCCCCCATAACTGCCCCGCAGCACCCCCAAATCCCCATAAATCCCCCATAGCACCCCATAACCCACCCCATAGCGCCCCAAATTCCTCCATAATTCCCCCATAGGACCCCATAGCACCCCATAAATCCCCCATAGCACCCCATAACCCACCCCATAGCTCCCCAAATTCCCCCATAGACCCCCATAAATGCCCCATAGACCCCCATAACCCACCCCATAGCACCCCAAAACCCCCATAAACCCCCCCTAACACCCCAAATTCCCCCATAACTGCCCCACAGCACCCCATAACCCACCCCATAGCACCCCAAATTCCCCCCAAAATCCCATAAATCGCCCCCAAATCTCACCCAGCAGCGCCAGCAGCGCCATCACCCCCCATCCTCATCCTCATCCTCCTCCTCCTCCTCTTCATCCCCCTCGCGTCCATGGCGGGGTCGGGCCCCGCTTGGGGGGAGGGGGGGGTCCCTTTAATCCCTTCCCCCCACCCCTCCCCCCCCCGCACCCCCAAAATCCGCCCCGTGGGTGGGGGAGGGGCGGCGGCCTCGGCCCTGGAATGTGGGGCGGCCCCGCCCCCCCCCTCAATTATGGGGTACCCCGGCGAGGATTAATTAAAGAAATGGAAATTAATTAATGGGGGCGGCCCCACCCCCCCCCAGCCCTGCCCCAGTGACCCCGGGCGGGGCCGGAATTTGGGGTCACCCCTCCCCCCCCCCCCCCCACCCCCCATATCCGGCCCCATGGATTTGGGGTCACCCTGGGTTTGGGGTCACCCTGGGTTTGGGGTCACCCTGGTTTTGGGGTGACCCCGACGTCCGGCCCCATAGATTTGGGGTCACCCCCCATGTCCCACCCCATAGATTTGGGGTCACCCCCCATATCCGGCCCCACAGATTTGGGGTCACCCCCATATCCGGCCCCATAGATTTGGGGTCACCCCCAATGTCCCACCCCATGGATTTGGAGTCACCCTGGGTTTGGGGTCACCCCAATGTCCCACCCCATAGATTTGGGGTCACCCCAAGGTCCCACCCCATAGATTTGGGGTCACCCGAATGTCCCACCCCATAGATTTGGGGTTACCCCCCCTTTCCGGCCCCATAGATTTGGGGTCACCCCCATGTCCCACCCCATGGATTTGGGGTCACCTCCCCCCCATATCCGGCCCCATGGGTTTGGGGTCACCCCAATATCCGGCCCCATAGATCTGGGGTCACCCCCCATATCCGGCCCCCACAGATTTGGGGTCACCCCAATGTCCCACCCCATAGATCTGGGGTCACCCCCATATCCGGCCCCATAGATTTGGGGTCACCCCGGGTTTGGGGTCACCCTGGTTTTGGGGTCACCCCAATGTCCCACCCCATAGATTTGGGGTCACACCCCATATCCGGCCCCACAGATCTGGGGTCACCCCCATATCCGGCCCCACAGATTTGGGGTTCTCAGTCCCTCTGCCCCACAGATTTGGGGTCTCTCGAGTGCTCCCCACGCATTTGGGGGTCCCCTCTGTTCGTGCCCCACAGATTTGGGGCTCTCAGCCCCACAACCCCACAGATTTGGGGTCTCTGAGTCTCAGCCCCACAGATTTGGGATCCCCAGAGATTTTGGGGTCCCCCCCAGTCCCTGCCCCACAGATTTGGGGTCCTTGCCCCAAAAATCCGGGGTTCTCAGCCCCATAACCCCCACAGATTTGGGGTCAATTTCCACAGATTTGGGGTCCCCCCCTCCCCCCGTCCCTGCCCCCCATATTTGGGTTCCCCTCCCCCCCCCCATATTTGTCCGCCGCCCCTCCCCCACTCCCGCTCCGTTCCCACGCCTCAGTTTCGCTCTCGGGGGCGGAGTTTTGGTTCCTCCCGGTCACGTGGTGCCCTCCCGGTCACGTGTCCCGCCCATCACGTGTACCCCCCTCCCTCCCCCCCGATCTCGGTCACGTGTCCCCATCACGTGTCCCCTCCTCTCTCTTTCCACGTGACCTCCCCTCCCCCCACGCTCCCGTTTCCCGCCAGGGGGCGCCGGGAGCTCGGGGTGGGCGTGGCCTCGGGGGCGCTTACAAGGGGAAAGGGGAGGGGGCGTGGTTCGCCGTTTGGCCCCGCCCCCGCCCCGCGCATGCGCGGCGCGGGCGGCGGCGGCGGCGGCTCCGGGAGCGGCTCCGAGCGGTGCGAGCGGCGCGGGGGGGGGAGGGGCGGGGGGAGGGGGGAGGGGCGGAGGGTGGGGGAGGGGCGCAGGGTGGGGGGGAGGGGCGTGGGGAGCGCGGGAACCCCGCCCCTCCCCCCCCGTATCGGCGGCGGCGCGCGGGGCATTGTGGGAGGGGGGAGGGGCGAAGGGAGAAAGGGGCGGGGCATATGGGGTGGTGGGCGGGGCTTAGAAAGGGGAAAACGGGGCCTCGGAAGGTGGGAGGGGCCAAAGGGTTGGGGGAGGGGTTTGGTGGTGGTGGGAGGGGCGTGTGGGATTGGGGAGGGGCTTGAGGGGTTGAGGGAGGGGCCTGTGGGGTTGTGGGCGGGGCTTAGAAAGCGGGTAAAAGGGGCCTGGAAAGTGGGAGGGGCCAAAGGGTTGAGGGAGGGGCTTGGGGTGTGGGGGAGGGGCAGGATGAGGTGGGAGGGGCTTGAGGGGTTGTGGGCGGGCTTAGAAAGGGGGAAAGGGGGCCTGGGAAGGTGGGAGGTGCCATAGGGTTGGGGGAGGGGCTTGTGGAACATAGGAGGGGCTTGTGGGGCTGTGGGCGGGGTTTGGGGATGCAAAGCGGGGCTGCGGAGATGGGAGGGGCTTCGGGGTTTGTGGGCGGGGCTTACGGGATGTGAGAGGGGCCTGGTGCCTTTGTGGGCGTGGCTTTTGAGCTGGTGGGAGGGGCTTGTGACGGACTTAGGGCTAGCCAGGGTCAGGTGGGTGTGGTCTGGCTCAAGGTGGGCGTGTCCCACCCCCGGCAGGCGTGGCCATGATGGCGGCCGGGCGGGGCCCGGGGAGCGAGGACGGAGCCTTTCGAGGAGGAGGAGGAAGAGGAAGAGGAGGAAGAAGAGGAAGAGGAGGAGGAGGAAGAGGAGGAGGAGGAGGAAGAAGCGGCCGGCGGTGAGCGGGGGAGGGGCGAAGAGGGAGGAGGGGGCGGGGCTTAACGTGCAGGTGGGGGAGGGGCGCTCACCTGTGCCATTGCCCCTCCCCCATCCCCCTCCCCCTCCCCCCCCCCCCCCAGCGCCGCCGGCCCCGCCCGAGGACGACGACGGCGAATCAGAGGAGGCCACGTCGGTGACGTCATCGGGGGACAGCGGCGGCGCCCCCCTCCCCCCCCGCCAACGGCTGCGCAGGTCAGGCCCCGCCCCCACCCGTGATTGACCCCGCCCCCCCTCCTCCCCCCACCCCTTTTCATTGGCCCCTCCCCCCCCGCAGGTTCCCGGACCCGCCCATTGGGGGCGGAGCCTCGGCCCTTCCCGGAGCCGCCCTGTGGGGGAGGGGCCTCCCCGGAAGCCTCCGGAACCGCTCCCACCGGAGGGGGCGTGGCCTCCGCCAGCGGCGGCCCCGTGACCACGCCCACGGGGGGCGGGGATTGGCACCGCTGCCCCGAGTGTGGGCGTGGCTTCGGCACCTCGCGGGCGCTCAAGGTCCACCGCAGTTACCACGTGGGCCGGAAGAGGCCCCTCCCCCCGCCCCCCCACGCCCCGCCCCCTCCCCCGGCCCCGCCCCCGCGCTCCCAGAGCCCCTCCCCCCCCCGCCCCGTTCAAGTTCCATTACATCTGCGCCGAGTGCGGCCTCGGCTTCGTGGCCCCCGGCGCCCTCGGCGCCCATCGGTGCCACCGGAGCCGCCGCCGACAGCGCCGCCCCTCCCCCACCAACACCAACACCCCCCGGGGCCCCTCCCCCCCACCCCCGCGCCGCCCCCGCCCCGCCCCCGCCAAGCCCCGCCCCACCCAGCCCCGCCCCGCGGAGCCCCGCCCCTTTCCGCTGCACCGAGTGCGCCGGGGCCTTCGGCCTCGTGGCCGAGCTGCACGAGCACTACATGCTGCACGCCAGGGGGGAGCTCTAGGACACGCCCACCGCGGGGGGGACACGCCCACTGCGGGGGGGACACGCCCACGTGGAGGGGGACACGCCCACGTGGAGGGGGACACGCCCACTGGGGTTGGGGACACGCCCACCCCGCTCCCGGTGCAGCCCAATGGGGGGGGGGAGGGAGGAGGAGGAAGAGGAGGAGGAGGCGGTGTCGGCAACAGGAAGTGATGTCATGGATGGAGGGCGTGGCCTGGTTGATTTTTTTAAATATTTGAATGGGGTGGGTGTGATGTCATTGGGGGTGGTGTTAATCGGGGTGATGTCATCGGTGTGACGTCATCAGGGTGGTTTTATTGGGTGATGTAATTGTGGTGATGTCATGAGGGTGATGTCACTGGTGATGTCATCAGGGGTGGTGACGATGCGGGTGACGTCATCGGGAGAGTGGCGCCGGTGTGACGTCATCGGGGTGACGTCACGATGGGGGGGGTGATGTTTGTGGCGTGACGTCACATGTGACGTCATCGTTGTGACGTCATCGGATTAATGGCGAAGTTGTGACATCATAAGGGGTTATGCTAATGAGATGATGACATTAGCGTGATGTCATCTTACTGGCGTCGTTGGGATAAATGGGTCGGGGTGACGTCATCGGGGTGACGTCATCGGGGGGGGTGACATCACGGGGATAATGGCACCCGAGCGACGTCATCGATGTGACATCACCGGGCCTGGTGTTAATTGCTTGACGTCATCGTTGTGACGTCATCGGGATGATTTTACCGGGTGACGTCATCAGCCCCTCCCCCTTTCTCACCGCTGACGTCACATCCCCCCCACAGTGACATCACACCCTCGCGACCAATCACAACCCAGTTCCTCCGTTTTATTCCTTCCCTGCCAAGCCCCGCCCCCTCTCCCCACAAGCCCCGCCCCCTCTCAGAGCTCGCCCCTGGCATGGCGGATGTAGTGCCGGTGCAACGCCCCCTCCCGGGCGAAGCCCCGCCCACACTCCCGGCACTCCAGCGGCGCTGGGGGCGTGGCTTTCCTGCTGGCGGCGGCGGCGGCGGTGGGCGCGGCCTCCCTGTGCTCCGCCCCCCTGTGGGCGTGGCCGCGCTGGTGGCGCAGCAGCGCCGGGGAGGAGCCGAAGGGGCGGGCGCAGACGAAGCAGACGAAGAGCGACCCCCGCAGGCCCAGGGCGAAATCGCGCGGGTGCTGGCGCTTGGCGTGGCGGGCGGCGAAAACGGCGTCGGGGAAGGTGATCAGGCACCTGGGACAGTGCTGGGAGCCCGGAGAGTCTGGGGGGACAGACAGACGGACATCAGGATGGACATTGGGACGGACAGATGGACGGACACTGGGCGGGTGCTGGCGCTTGGCGTGGCGGGCGGCGAAAACGGCGTCGGGGAACGTGATCAAACACCTGGGGCAGTGCTGGGAGCCCGGAGAGTCTGGGGGGGGACAGACGGACGGACACAGCTCAGGATGGACAGACGGACACCCATAGGAACAGACGGACAGACACCAGGACAGACGGACACCAGGATGGACGGGCATACGGACATAGGGACAGGCAGACACCCATAGGGACAGGCAGACGGACACCAGGACGGACAGACACCCCTCGGGATGGACAGACGGACACAGCTCATGACGGACAGACGGCCCTCAGGACGGACAGATGGACACCAGGGACGGACAGACACCCATAGGGACAGGCAGACACCCCTCAGGATGGACAGACGGACACCAGGATGGACAGACGGACACAGGGACGGACGGACACCAGGACAGATGGACACCAGGGACGGACAGACACCCATAGGGACAGGCAGACGGACACCAGGACGGACAGACAGACACCCATAGGGACAGGCGGACGGACACCGGGACGGACAGACACCCCTCGGGATGGACATGCAGACACCGGGACAGACGGACACCAGGACAGACGGACACAGCCCAGGACGGACAGACAGCCGCCCTCAGGATGGACAGACACCCATAGGGACAGGCAGACACCCCTCGGGATGGACATGCGGACACCAGGACGGACGGACACCAGGACAGACGGACACCAGGACAGATGGACACCAGGACAGACGGACACAGCTCGGGGACACTGGGGACACACAGGGACACCTGAGGGACACCTGAGGGACACCTGGGGGACATTGGGGACATCTCTGGGGACACCACAGGGGACAGAGGTGACACCACAGGGGACACCACAGGGACATGGGGACAGAGGTGACACCACAGGGACACCCACAGGGACAGAGGTGACACCACAGGGACACCCACAGGGACATGGGGACAGAGGTGACACCACAAGGACCCAGCCTGGGGACACTGTGGGGGTGGCACTGGGACACACGGGGACACTCAGGGGGACAAAGGGGACACTGGGGACACCTGGGGACATTGGGGACAGGGGTGACAACCCTGGGGACACCACAAGGACCCAGCCCAGGGACATTGGGGACACTCAGGGGGTGGCACTGGGACACCCAGGGGCACCTCTGGGGACATTGGGGACACCCCAGGACCCCCCAGAGACCCTTGGGGACACCTTGGTGACACCCCAGGGGTGGCACAGGGACACCCAAGGGACCCTCCTGGGGACATTTGGGGACACCCAGAGCCCCTCCCCGCCCCTCCCCCACTCACAGGCGGCTCCTCCGCTCCCGGGGGGGCTCCAGGCCCCTCCCCCCCCTCCTTCCTCCTCCTCCTCCTCCTCCTCAGGGTGAGGGGAGGGGCGCGCCGAAGGGGGCGGGGCCAACTCCGAGGGGGGCGGGGCCAAATCCGGGGGCTGCGCCATGGGCTGGGGGAGGGGAAAGGGAAAAAGGGGGGGGGGGGGGTGTCAGGGGCGACCCCGGAAAGCGCCGGGACCCCCAAAACCCCCCCAGGAACCTCCGGGACCCCCCAAACCCCCTCAGGACCCTCCAAACACCGCCCGGGACCCCCCCAGGACCCCCCAAAATCCCCTCGGGACCCCCCAAACCACCCCAGGACCCTCCAAAATCCCCCAAAACCACCAGAGACTCCCCAAAATCCCCCCAAGACCCCCCCGGGACCCCCCAGGACCCCCAAAATCCCCTCGGAACCCCCCAAAACCCCCTCGCCCCTCACTCGCTCTCGGCGGCCACTTCCGGCTTCCGGTGCGGCGACACCGGAGCCGCTTCCGGTTCCGGTCTGGGTGTTTTGGCCTCGCCCACTCCGCTTGGTGGAGTGGGCGTGGTTTAAAGCGGGTGATGTCAGTGGTGGCCAATAGGAAAAAGGGGGCGGGGCTTGGAGCGGGGTTGGCGCACCCTGGAGGCGCGGGAATGTCCCAGTAAAAACCAGTAAAAAACGGTAAAAAAACGGTAAAAAAACGGTGAAAACCAGCACGAACCGGTAAAACCAGTGCTCCCACTACGGTCCAGGGACCCCCAGTCCGCCCCAGTCCCTCCCAGTATAAACCAGTAACCCCAAATCCCCCTTTAACCCTTTCCAAGTTTGTCCCAGTTTCCTATAGAATAATATAGATATTATTTTCATGTAATTATAATTGCTATATTTATATGAATTTTAAATATATTTATAGAGGAATTTATATAAAAATGCATATTTGAATTTTAAAAAATGCAATATTAAATAATATAAATTAATTCATTAAATAATAGTAAATAGTAAATATATTAAATAATAGTAATTTCAAATTTATTTTTATATTCGTGTATTTTACATTTTTATATTTTCATTTTTGTTATTTATTTTTATTTCTTTATAATTTGTGTATATTTAAATTTTATAACATTTATATCCATATCTATATTTTATATTTCATAATTCTATATTTATATATAAATATATTTTTGTATTCTTCTAGTTTTATGTTTATACATTTTTGTATTTTTATATTTATATTTTATAATCCGTATTTTAATATTTATATTTTAAATTTAAATTTTTTGTAATTTCCTGATTTTATCTTTATATATTTCTGTATCTTTATATTTTCTAGCTATATTTAAATACTTTATATTTTAACAATTCATATTTTTATATTTTTATATTTTCATTTTACTTTTTAATATTTTATATTTCATACTTCTTGTAATTATTGCTTATATTTTCGTATTTGCTTTTTGTATATTTATATTTTTAAATTTTTTAAATTTATATTTTATATAAATCTCTTAAAGAGCCACTGCCCCTTTAAGAAGGCCCCGCCCTCCTTTTTAAAAGCCCCGCCCACTTCCCCCATTAATTAACTCATTAACGACCTAATTCATTTCTACCCAAATCCTCTTTTATTACACCTAAACAAAAAGGGGGCGTGGCTTAGAAGGGGGCGTGTCCACAGCGACGACATCACTGTGAAGATGATGATGTCATCGATGACGTCACCAGGAAGGGCTGGGCCGGGATTGGCTGTTGCCGCTCCCCGCAGAGCAGCAGCCAATGGGGACGCACGAACTGCAGCGAGGGGCGGAGCTCCAGGGCCTGGGGGAGCGGAGGGCGGAGCTTGGGGTTAAAGGGGCGGGGCCAGGCCCAGCTAAATCCCCGCCCCTTTCTCTTATTGGGCCACACCTCATCGAAGGCGGGGTCCCAGTCCTGTGAGGTCACCACGTGGGTCACGGATTCGTCCATGTAGGGAGCCAGGGAGCTGCAAACCAGTATGGACCAGTATAAACCAGTACGGGCCAGTATGTGCTGGTATAAACCAGTACGGACCAGTATGAACTGGCATAAACCCGTAGGGACCAGTAAAAACCAGTAGGGACCAGTATGGACCAGTAGCGGCTGGTATAAACCAGTAAAAACCAGTACGAACCAGTACGGACCAGTACAGGCCAGTTTGAGCTCCCAGTTCCATCCCAGTCCTTCCCAGTTCAAACCAGTCCATTCCCAGTTTTCCCCAATCCCCTCCCAGTCCATTCCCAGTACAAACCAGTAACCCCCAGTGCCCCTTTAACCCTTTCCCAGCCCCTCCCAGTACAAACCAGTAACCCCAAATTCCCCATTAACCCTTTCCCAGTCCCTCCCAGTCCAAACCAGTGCCTGTTTAACCCTTTCCCAGTCCCTCCCAGTTTATCCCAGTACAAACCAGTAACCCCAAATCCCCCTTTAACCCTTTCCCAGTCCCTCCCAGTCCCTCCCAGTATCCTCCAGTCCCCTTTAACCCTATCCCAGTCCCTCCCAGTCCAAACCAGTCCCTGTTAAACCCTTTCCCAGTCCCTCCCAGTATAACCCAGTATCCCCCAGTCCCCTTTAACCCTTTCCCAGTCCATCCCATCCCCTCCCAGTTCATCCCAGTCCCTCCCAGTCCCTGTTTAACCAATTCCCAGTCCCTCCCAGTACATCCCAGTATCCCCCAGTCCCTGTTTAACCAATTCCCAGTCCCTCCCAGTCCCTCCCAGTCCCTCCCAGTCCCTCCCAGTCCCTGTTTAACCAATTCCCAGTCCCTCCCAGTCCCTCCCAGTCCCTCCCAGTCCCTCCCAGTTTATCCCAGTCCCTCCCAGTGCCGCTCACCCCCCGAACGCCACCGCCAGGCGCCGCAGCCGCCGCCGCTCCCCCTCGGGGAAGGGGCCGTGCAAAAAGAACTTTTTGTCCTCAAAAAAATCTGTGTGGGGGATAGAAAAAGGGGCGGGGTTAGAGAAAAGGGGGCGGGGATAAAGGGGGAGGGGTTTAATGGGGGGGAGGGGCACGCACCGGGCAGGGGGGGGATGGGCGGCCCCGCCCCCTCATCTTCCTCATCCTCTGTGTTCTCCTCAGTGGAGCCCCCAAAGGGGTCGGTGCTAAAGGGGGGAGGACACGCCCACTTTAGGGATGGCCACGCCCACTTGAGGCTGGACACGCCCATTTGATGTCTGACCACGCCCACTTGATGTAGGGAGGTTCCCGTTTGATTTAAGGACACGCCCACTTAAGGCGTGGCCATAGGGATTGAATGTATGGAGATGGAAAGGGCAGAGGAGGCCACGCCCACTTAATGGTTGACCACGCCCACTTAAAGAATGGCCACACCCACTTAAATTGTGACTCCACCCCGTCAGGACATGACCACGCCCACCCCATATGTGACATCACCAACCCCTGGTGTGACCACGCCCACCAGCGCTTTGACCCCACCCCCTTCACTCCAAACTCACTCCTCTGATTGGTCCTCGCTGTCACCGGACTCAGGGGGCGTGGCCGGCGCCGCAGGGGGCGGAGTCTCAGGTTTGTCCGTCTGAGGAGGCCCCGCCCCTTTTTTCCCCTTGGGGGAAGGTCGTGGAGGGGGCGGGGCCTCCTCAGGCTCCTCCCCCTCGCTGCCGGAGGAGGCGGAGCCGTCCAGGAGGTACCTGGGGGAGGGGCAAGGTGTGGCCACGCCCATTTAGGGGCGTGACTTCAATTTACCCCCTCACACGTGGGCGTGGCTAAGGGGGCGTGGCCTGTCCAGGTTTGCTTAAAAGGCTCCAAAATCTTCATTTTTCACCCAAATTTCACAGAATTTTTTGGGGTTTTCCCCGCCCAGATGTGCCCAAAACCCCCAAAATCCCCAATTTTTACCCAAATTTTGCCCAATTTTCACCAAATTTTCGCTTTCCCCCCCCCCCCCCCCCATTTCCCCCTCCCAGGTGTTCCCAAACACCCCCAAACCCCCCCTAAAATCCCCATTTTTAACCCAAATTTCGCCCGATTTTCACCCAATTTTCGCCCAATTTTCACCCAATTTTCACTTTTTTCCCCCATTTTCCCCGTCCCAGCTGTGCTCAGGTGCTCTCAGGTGTTCCCAAACACCCCCAAACCCCCCCTAAAATCTCCATATTTCACCCAAATTTCATCCGATTTTCGCCCATATTTCGCCCAAATTTCACCCAATTTTCACCCGATTTTCACCCAAATTTCACCCGATTTTCACCCAATTTTCCCCAAATCTTCCCCAAATTTTCACTTTTTCCCCCCATTTTCCCACCCCCAGGTGTACCCAGGTGCTCCCAGGTGTTCCCAAACGCCCCCAAACCCCCCTAAAATCCCCATTTTTAACCCAAATTTCACCCAATTTTCACCCGAATTTCACCCGATTTTCACCCAAATTTTGCCCAATTTTCACCCGAATTTCACCAAATTTTCGCTTTTTCCCCCCATTTTCCCCCTCCCGGGCGTGCCCCCCGCACTCACGGCCCGCAGCTCAGCCTCCTGCCCCGTTTCTGGCACTCCCAGATCCACCTGGCTCCCACCACGACCCCGCCCCGCTGCCGCGCCCGCGCCGCCTTCGGGGTCCTGGGGAAGGCGCACCTGGAAAAGGGGGAAAAACACCGGAAATGGGCGTGGCCGAAGGGAAAAGGGGCGTGGCCGCATCCCCAAAGGGGCGCGGCCACGAAAAATTGGGTGGGGAAAGGTAAAAAAGGGGAGTGGTCACTCTAAAAAGGGGCGTGGCCACAAAAATTGGGTGTGGAAAGGCCAGAATTGGGTGTGGTGGGCAGCAAAAGGGGCGTGGCCAAAAAAAAAATTGGGTGGGGAAAGCTTAAAAATGGGGGGAAAAGTAAAAATATGGGCGTGGCGTGTAACAAAAGGGGCGTGGCCACCCTCCAAATGGGCGTGGTTGTCCTAAAATGGGCGTGGCCAAAGCAAAAATTGGCGTGATCACACTGTAAATGGACATAACTGCCAAAAAGTGGGCGTGGTCACTCAAAAATAGGCGTGGCCACGCAGATTGGCGTGACCATATAGAAAATAAACCTAAAAGTTAAAAAAACTGGGCGTGGCCACTCCAAAATGGGCGTGGCCAGGAAAAATTGGGTGTGGCCATACAGAACATAGACCTAAAAGTCAAAAAATGGGCGTGTCCACACCATAAATGGACATAATTGCCAAAAAATGGGCGTGGCCACATCATAAATGGATGTAACTGTCCAAACATGGGCGTGGCTGCCTCAAAATGGGCGTGGCCACTCAAAAGTGGGCGTGTCCACACAATAGATAGAAAAAACAAGTCAAAAATGGGTGTGACCAAAAAAGTGGGTGTGGCCACACGGAAATGGAAATAACAGTCACGAAATGGGCGTGGTCACACCATAAATAGACTAAACTATTTAGAAGTGGGCGTGACTACAAAAAAATGGGCGTGGCCACACCATAAATGGACATCACTGCTCAAACATGGGTGTGGCTGCCTCAAAATGGGCGTGGCCACCCAAAATTCTGTGTGGCCACACCATAAATGGACATGACAGGTGAAAAAAGGGTGTGACCAAAAAAAGTGGGTGTGGCCATACATAATAGGAAACAAGAGTCAAAAAATGGGCGTGGCTACGTAAATTTGGGCGTGACCGCACCATAAATAGACATAAGCGTCAAAAATATGGGCGTGGCCACCCCATAAACGAATATAACAGGTAAAAAATGGGCGTTACCACACCATAGACAAAACTGTTTAGAAATGGGCGTGGCCTCATCAAAATGGGCGTGGCTACCAAAAAAATTGGTCGTGGCCACACCATAAATGGACATAACTGCTCAAGCATGGGTGTGGCCACCTCAAAATGGGCGTGGCCACCCAATAAATAGAAATAACAGGTCAAAAAATGGGTGTGGTCACATCATAGACAAAACTGCTCAGAAATGGGCGTGGCTACCCAACAGTGGGCGTGACCACACCATAAATAGACATGAGCATCAAAAACATGGGCGTGGCCACCCAATAAACAGACAAGACTGCCCACAAATGGGTGTGGCCACACCATAAATGGACATAACTGTTTAAAGATGGGTGTGGCCACCCCAAAAAGGGCGTGGATGTCCCAAAGAGAAGGGCGTGGCCACACACACAAAATGTTCCCCAAAAATGGGCGTGCCCTCACCATAAATGGACATGGCTGGTCAAGAATGGGCGTGGCCTCACCATAAATGGACATGGCTGGCCAAGAATGGGCGTGGCCACCCCAAAAATGGCGTGGATGTCCTAAAGAGAAGGGCGTGGCCACACACACAAAAAGTCCCAAAAAATGGGTGTGGCCTCACCATAAATGGACATAACTGACCACAAATGGGCGTGGCCTCACCATAAATGGACATAACTGTTTAAAGATGGGCGTGGCCACTCCAAAAAGAGCATGGCAGACCAAAAATAAAGGGCGTGGCCACACACAGAAAGTCGAAAAAAATGGGCGTGGCCATGCCATATACGGACACAACCACCTTAAAACAGGGTGTGGTCGCCCCGAAAGCGGGCGTAACCGCCCCGAGAGTGGGCGTGGCCATCCCGAGAGTGGGCGTGGCCACTCCGAGAGTGGGCGTGGCCTCTGCGGCGGTCGTGGGAGGGGTCACCTACACCAGGTGCGTGCACTCGGGCGTCCAGTCCGGCCGATACTCCGCCCCCATGGCCGCGGCCGCCGCCCGCAGGTGCCCCCGCAGAGGGTTCTGGAATCCGCTCAGGGCCAGCACCACCCCCGCCAAAATGGGACCCCCCGAATCCGGGGGGGGTTTTTGGGGGGGCGCTGAGGTTTTTTGGGGGGGTGCCGAGGTTTTTTGGGGGGGTGCCGGGTTTTTTTGGGGGGTTTTGGGGGTTTTCGGAGGGGTTTTTTGGGGGGTTTTGGGTTTTTTTTGGGGGGTGCCGTTGGTGGTGGTGGTGGGGGAGGGGAGGCGGCGCTTGGGGGGCTGTGGGGAGAAAAAAAAAATGGGGGCGGGGTTAGGGGGGGGTGCCACCAAAAAGGGATTTTGGGGGGGTTCGGGTGGGGTTTGGGGGTCCCAGGTGGGGTTTTGGGGGTATAGGGGGTTCCAGGTAGGGTTTGGGTGGAGTTTGGAGGGTCCCAGGTGGGGTTTGGGGTCCCAGGTGGGATTTTGGGGGAGTTTGGGGGTCCCAGAGGGGGTTTGGGGGGTCCCAGGTTGGATTTGAGAGACCCCAGGTAGGATTTGGGGGGGTCCCAGGTGGGATTTTGGGGTCCCCAGGTGGGATTTTGAGGGGTTTTGGGTGTCCCAGGTGAGGTTTAAGGGGTCCCAGGTGGGATTTTGGTGGGGTTCAGATGAGATTTGGGGTCCTCAGGTGAGGTTCTGGGGAGGTTTGGGGAGTCCCAGGTGCATTTTAGGGTATCCCAGGTGCATTTTGAGGTCTCCCAGGTGCATTTTGGGGTTCCCCAAGTGCATTTTAGGGTATCCCAGGTGCATTTTAGGGTCCCCCAGATGTATTTTAGGGTATCCCAGGTGCATTTTGGTGTCCCCAGGTGCATTTTGGTGTCCCCAGGTGCATTTCGGGCTCCCCCAGGTGTGCTTGGGGTTTCCCAGGTGCATTTCGGGCTCCCCCAGGTGCATTTTGGGGCTCCCCAGGTGCATTTGGTGTCCCCCAGGTGCATTTTAGGCTCCCCCAGGTGCATTTCGGGCTCCCCAGGTGCATTTTAGGGTGTCCCCAGGTGTATTTAGGGTCCCCCAGGTGCTCCCTTACCTGGCTGCTCTCCCTGTTCGTTTCCTGCAGCGCGGCTGCGGCGTAGCTGGGCCCGGGGGGGGGCTGGGCTGAGGCTGCAGGGGGAAGGGGCTTGACATCAAATGGGGGAGGGGCTTACCTGGGGTGGGGGAGGAGCTAAAGGGGGCGTGGCCTCACCTGTGTTGGGGGAGGGGCGTTGGTAGAACAGGGCCCCGGGGGGGCGCCGGGGGCTCCCCTCCCCCTCCTCGCGCAGCGTGAACGGACCCAGGCGGCGAACCTGGGGGGGGGGAGGGGCCAGAGGGGTCACCTTGGGGTCAGCCAGGGGTCAGGGGTCACTCAGTGGTCACCCATTGGTCAGTGATTGGTCAGTGGTCACTCAGTGTTCACCCATTGGTCACCCATTGGTCAGTGATTGGTCAGTGGTCACCCATTGGTCACCCATTGGTCACTCAGTGGTCACAGGTCACTCAGTGGTCACCCATTGGTCACCCATTGGTCAGTGGTCACCCATTGGTCACTCATTGGTCAGTGATCACTCAGTGGTCACCCATTGGTCACTCACCGGGGCCGGGGGCGGTTCCTGTCCCTCCTCGGGGGCAGCGAAGGCTCTGATGAAGGCCAGGCCGTAGGGGCGGCTCTGGGGGCGGGGCCAACAGGTGAGAACTGACAGGTGAGTGCTGACCCCTCCCTCCAGGTGTGTCCCCCTCCCTCCCTCAGGTGTCCCCTGCCCCTCCAGGTGTGTCCCCCTCCCTCCCTCAGGTGTGCTCACCTGGCAGTAGGGCTGGCTCAGCACCACCTGTAGCCGGTCGTATTTGGTCGTGGGCGTGGCCGTGGGCGTGGCCGGACGTTTGACCAATGCCTGAGGCCCAAAGAGCCGCACCCGGCCTGGCCCCGCCCCTGCCCGGCTCTCGCTTGGTGACATCAGAGCAGAACTGGGCAGGAGCACCTGGGATAGGTGAGACAGGGGAGCTCTGAGGAGCTGGGAACAGGGGACAACAGGGAAGGCCCAGGTGGGCCCAAAGTGACCCCAGATGGGACCCAGGTGTGCTCCAACCCCCCCAAGGTGTGCCCAGGTATATCCCAGGTACCCTCAGGTCTCACCTGGAACTCGCCCCCGGCAGAACAGCCCAGCAGCACCTCCACAAATGCGGCGCCGTCGTTGCCGATGTGCAGGGAGTGGATGGGCCGGGAGTCGCCCAGCTGGGAAACCAGTTTGGACCAGTTCACACCAATAATCCCCCAGTTCATCACAGCAACCCCTAGTGCAGTCCCAGTGCCATCCCAGTTCAGACCAGTAACCTCCCAGTGTACTCCCAGTTCAGACCAATAACCCCCAGCTCATCCCAGTCCCTCCCAGACCATCCCAGACCCACCCAATCCCCTCCCAGTATAAACCAGTAACCCCAAATCCACCTTCAACCCTTTCCCAGTCCCTCCCAGTCCGTCCCAGTCCATCCCAGTCCCACCTCCAGCACCACACTCAGCTGTTTCTCCCCCGCCGTCGCTCCTCTCCATTTCCCGCCATCTTCGGGCCTCAGCAGATTCTCCGCCGGGTGACGCTGCGGACGCACCGGAGCCTCAACAACCACCCCAACCCCCGGTACCGGACCGGAACCGCCTCCCGGTCCTACCGAGCCCCTCTGAACCCACCGGATCCGCGCTGGTAACCGACACCACCCGCGTGAACGGAATCTCCGCCATTGCCGCCTCCCTCCCCTCACGGCTCCACCGGAAGCCCCCTTAGAGCTCCACCGGAAGCCGCCTCAGAGCTCCATAATGGAAGAGACGCTCTGTCCAACACTCCCCCAACTCTATGGTTCCGCGCAGTCCTCCCGGCGTTTCTGCGCATGCGCACGGAGCCGCTCTACCCTGCGAGCCCTCCCACCTCTATGGTCACGTGAGGGGGTTTCCCGCTCTTTTCCAAGCGCGGGAAGTCGTGAGGGGCAAGGCTTTAATTAAACCTCCGTGACGGTAATTACGCCTAATTAAGCTTGAGGCGGGTAATTAATTAAGATTTGGCGTTAATTAAGAGAGAGACGACGCGGTTTTGGCGGTTTATTGGCGCGGGGGGAGCCTCCCAGTGCTCCCAGTTCAGCCCAGTAAGCGGCCGTACTCGGCCAGGGCCGAGGATTTCTTCACTCCGTCCCAGATGCGGGCGGCGTAATGGAACCTGCATCAACCAGTATGGACCAGTACAGGTTAAGAAATGCCCTCCCAGTCCCTCCCAGTTGCCCCCAAACCTCCTCCCAGTAGCTCCCAGTTGGTCTCAATCCCCTCCCAGTCCCTCCCAGTATAAACCAGTATCCCCAAATCCCCCTTTAACCCTTTCCCAGTCCCTCCCAATCCATCCCAGTTTATCCCAGTGCCCTCCCAATATAAACCAGTAACCCCGAATCTCCATTTAATCCTTTCCCAGTCCATCCCAGTCCCCCCAAACCCCTCCCAGTATAAACCAGTAACCCCGAATCTCCATTTAAGCCTTTCCCAGTCCATCCCAGTCCCCCCAAACCCCTCCCAGTATAAACCAGTAACCTCAAATCCCCCTTTAACCTTTTCTCAGTCCCTCCCAGTCCCCCCAAAAGTCCTCCCAGTCCATCCCAGGCCCTCCCAGTACAAACCAGTAACCCCAAATCCCAATTTAACCCTTTCCCAGTCCCTCCCAGTTTATCCCAGTCCTCCCCAGTCCCTCCCAATCCCCTCCCAGTCCCCCCCAATCCCCTCCCAGTCCCTCCCAGTATAAACCAGTAACCCCAAATCCCCCTTTAATCCTGTCCCAGCCCCTCCCAGTATAAACCAGTAACCCCAAATTCCCCTTTAACCCCGTCCCAGCCCCTCCCAGCCCCTCCCAGTACAAACCAGTAACCCCAAATACCCCTTTAACCCCGTCCCAGTGCCTCCCAGTCCGTCCCAGTCTCACCAGTTCCTCTCGGTCAGCAGGCTGTGGGATAACTGGGACCGTGCGGCCGCCAGGACCCTCCCCCTGAGCCGGGCCAGGAGCCCCCCGAGCCCCCCCCGGCCCCGGAATGGGGGCAGGGCTGGGAACAGCGCCCCTCCCCCACCTGGGAGAGATTTGTACTGGTTTGTACTGGTTTGCACTGGTTTTTAATGATTTTTAATGGTTTTTAATGGTTATAATGGTTTATACTGGTTTATAATGGGGGCTGCCCCATTCCCAGACCCCCCCCAAACCCTGAATGGGGGCTGGGAACAGCGCCCCTCCCCCACCTGAGAGATTTATACTGGTTTATAATGATTTATACTGGTTTGTACTGGTTTTAATGATTTTTAATGGTTTTTAATGGTTATAATGGTTTATACTGGTTTATACTGGTTTATAATGATCTATACTGGTTTATACTGGTCTATACTGGTTTATAATGATTTATAATGACTTATACTGGTTTATAATTATTTATACTGGTCTGTACTGGTTTGTAATTATTTATACTGGTTTATACTAGCCCATACTGATCTATACAGATTTATAATGATTTATACTGGTCTATACTGGTTTATAATGATTTATAATGGTTTATACCAGCCCATACTGGTTTATACTGATTTATAATAATTTATACTGGTCTATACTGGTTTACAGTTTTTTATACTGGTTTATACCAGTCCATACTGCTCTGAACTGGTCTATACTGGTTTATAGTAATTTATAGTGGTTTATACTGGTATATACTGGTTTACAATGATTTATCCTGGTCTATAATGATTTATCCTGGTCTATACTGGTCCGAACTGGTCTCACCTCGGGGCAGGGCGTCCTCGGGCTCCTCCTCCAGGGGGGGCAGCAGGAACAGATTGACCTCGGGCTCGGGGGGGGCGGGGCCAGAGCCGGGGGGGGCGGGGCCGGAGCCGGGGGGGGCGGGGAGCAGCTCCCGCATGGACAGAGAGCCTGGGGGGGGCCAAAATCAGCACAAATTAATCCAAAATTCAGCATAAAATTAACCCAAATTAACCCAAAACTCAGTCCAAATTAACCCAAAGCTCAGCCTAAAATCGGCCCAAAATTCACCCAAAAACCATCCCAAAATCAGCCTAAAATGGCCCAAAATTCATCGCAAGTTTACTCTAAATTCAGCCTAAAATAACTCCAAATTTCACCCCAAAATTCATCCCAAAGATGGCAAAATTCACCCCAAAAGTCACCCTAAAATCATCCCAAAATATCCCTAAAATCACTCTAAAATCCACCTCAAAATGGCCCCAAAATTCGCACCAAAATCAGCCTAAAATCACCCCAAAATTCACCTCAAAATTCACCTGAAAATGGCCAAAATTCACCCTAAAATTCACCCCAAAATCAACGTAAAATGGCCCCGAAATTCACACCAAAATTCACCTGAAAATGGCCAAAATTCACCCTTTAATTCACCCCAAAATCAGCCTAAAATGGCCCCAAAATTCGCCCCAAAATTCACCTCAAAATTCACCTGAAAATTCCCATCAAAATCAGCTGAAAATGGCTGCAAAATTCACCTCAAAATGGCGGAAATCCCCCCCAAAATGGCGGAAATTCCCCCTCAAAATGGCGGAACCCCCCAAAATGGCGGAAATCCCCCCCAAAATGGCGGAAATTCCCCCTCAAAATGGCGGACCCCCCCCAAAATGGCGGACCCCCCTCAAAATGGCGGAAATTCCCCCTCAAATCAGCCTCAAACTCCCCCAAAACCCCCCCGAAATTTAATCTGGGAACCCCCAAATTCCACCCGGGACCCCCAAAATCCCCAAAACTGCCCCAAAATCAGCCTAAAATTCACCTCAAAATTCACCCCAAAATTCGCCCCAAAATGGCGGAAATTCACCCCCAAAATGGCGGAACCCCCCTCAAAATGGCGGAAATTCCCCCTCAAATCAGCCTCAAACTCCCCCAAAACCCCCCAAAACCCCCCCGAAATTTCATCTGGGAACCCCCAAATTCCACGTGGGACCCCCAAAACGCCCAAAATCCCCCCAAATTGCCCCGAATTCGCCCCAAAATCACCGCGGTATTTGAGGCGCGAGTGCGCCATCAGGCGGCCGAGCACGCGCTGCATCTGCCCCAGGCGGCGCGGGGAGAAGCACTCGGGGGGGGCGCGGGTTTGAACGAACACTGCGGGAAACAAAGGGTTAAAGGGTGTTAATGGGCACAGCTGGGCACAGCTGGGAACAGCTGGGAACAGCTGGGAGGGGAAATGTGCAAAAAACCCGGTGAAAATCGGGTGAAAAATGGGGATTTTGGGTATGACTTGGGGGGGGAGGAAATGGGGAAAAATGGCGAAAATTGGGTGAAAATGGGTGGAAATTTGGCGTTTTTGGGAGGGAATTGGGATTTTTGGGAACAGCTGGGAACAGGTGGGGCAGGGAAATGGGGAAAATTTGGTGAAAATTGGTGGAAATTTGGGGTTTTTCGGGGAGAAATTGGGATTCTGGGAACACATTGGGGGGGGGAAGAAATGGGGAAAAAAATCCCCCAAAAATGGGGAAAATTGGGTGAAAAATCGGTGGAAATTTGGGGGAAATTGGTGAAAATTGGAGAATTTAAGGACACCTGGGCACAGCTGGGGGGCGGGGGGGGATGGTGAAAATTGGGTGAAAATGGGTGGAAATTTGGGGTTTTTGGGAGGGAATTGGGATTTTGGGCACACCTGGGAATAGGTGGGGCAGGGAAATGGGGAAAATCAGTGAAAATTGGGTGAAAATCAGTGGAAATTTGGGGGTTTTGGAAGGGAAATTGGGATTTTGGGCACACCTGGGAACACCTGGGTCCCCAAATTCACCTTAAAATTTCCAAAAATGGGGAAAATTGGGTGAAAAATCGGTGGAAATTTGGGGTTTTTTTTCCTAGGAATTTTTGAGGGGGAATTTTTGGAGGTCAGGGTTTTACTGGGGGGAACCCAGAGGTTAATTACCCCCAGATTAATTATCTATTAATTAATTAGTGACTGACCCAGGTGTGGGTAATACTCGGAGGGCTCCTCGGGCCCGGCCCCGCTCGAGTCGTGGCTGGGGGACGGCGTCGGGGGCTTCACCATCTCGGCCGTCTGCAGGAACCTGGGGCAGTTATTGAGGGGTTTGGGGCAATTATTGGGGGTTTGGGGCAATTATTGGGGGGTTTTGGGTGGGTTTGGGGCAGTTTTGGGTCATTTTTTGGATAATTTTTGGGTCGGTTTTAGGTCATTTTTGGGTCACTTTTGGGGCCATTTTTGGGGTCATTTTTGGGGTGACTTTTAGGTCACTTTGGGATCATTTTTGGGTCAGTTTTGGGTAATTTTTAGGTCATTTTTGGGGTGACTTTTAGGTCACTTTGGGATCATTTTTGGGTCACTTTTAGGTCACTTTTGGGGCCATTTTTGGGTCACTTTCAGGCCAATTTTGGGGTCATTTTTGGGGTCACTTTCAGGCCACATTTGGGGCCATTTTTGGGTCACTTTCGGGTCATTTTTAGGTCATTTTTGGGGTGACTTTTAGGTCATTTTTGGGGTGACTTTTAGGTCACTTTGGGATCATTTTTGGGTGACTTTCAGGTCACTTTTGGGGTCATTTCAGGTGATTTTTGGGGTCATTTTTGGTCCATTTTCAGATCATTTTTTGAGTCATTTTTGGGTCGCTTTGCGTCATTTTTCGGGGTTATTTTTCTGTCATTTTTAGGCCGCATTTTTATCATTTTTTGGGTAATTTTGGGGTCATTTTGTGTCACTTCTGTGTCGTTTTTTGGGTAACTTTTGGG